AGATGTGTATAAGAGACACCTCGAGAGGTGTGCGCGTGACGGCGCCGTGCAGGCTGGCTGGGATGGGCTGCATGCGCTCGTCCAGTTTGCGCTCGTCGTCCTCGTTGAGCGCGGCCGTCGTGCGCGAGAAGTACCCACATACTTCGCCCAGGTCCAGCCTGTAAAGTAACAATTTGTCCGTCAAATTCATTAATAATAAATGAAAATTATAAATTAATATTTAAATTTCGAAAAGATATAGGCCATGGGCTCGCCGCCACAAGCCATTCAGGCTCCTCAAGTACCCACATACTTCGCCCAGGTCCAGCCTGTAAAGTCAAAGTATATCCTTCAACTTAATAAATACTGAATGAAAATTATTGATTAATATTTAAGAAATTGATTCCATTCAATGTTTAGATATATGTTACCGTATTCGAGTTCTAACTCGACCAGAAGGACGAAAGTCAATAAAGATTAAATTTTGCATTCATCATTAACTTCAACTGCGCGGAATTTTTTCTTTGAGTAGTACTAAAGCAAGAAGGCAAATATTTAAGTGTAAAGACAGAGAAAGCAAGCCTACATTGCTACTCAAGCCACTGCACGAGACCAGACACTCTCGGGAACCTAATTAGACTCACATCTCACACAAGTTGCCTGAGTTATGAGGAATTTTCAATCAACTTTCAAGAGTAGTCATTACTATTAATAAATTCTTCACTCAATCCACCATGAACACATCTGATGACATAGAATAGGTAATACACGACACTCGTAACCAATCAAGCATTTCCCACAAAACATTCCAGTTCCACTGAGAAATTTCTCGCAATTGGTGCTATACTAAAGACGTGGCTATCACGAATCACTCATTAATTATCCTAAATGCTCGTTTTTGATAACTCATTAATGGAGAATCACGACTCGCTCACTGAGGATCATTAATGATCAGTCACTAATGATAATGAATAATCACGACTCACTAGCTAATGAGTGATCACGACTCGCTAATGAGTGATAAGACTCACTAATGAGTGATAAGGACTCACTAATGAGTGATAAGGACTAACTCATTAAGGTCGGAGAGATATCGCTTGGCCTGCGCAGGCTGCAGGAGGTGCAGGTGCTGCAGGAGGTGCTCCTGGCCGTACTCCTGCAGGCGCTTCAGCAATTCGGAAGGCGGAGACATCGCTGTAAAAACACCCGCATTAATGTACAGTACGTGGTGGCGCCATACACTAAACACACTTTAAAATATTGTACTTTGTGTCACTATGCAGTCTATCAACTCGCTTTAAAATACAATACTACTTAATTGCGTGTTAGCCAGTCCACTCTAAAATACAGTACGCGGTGGCACTTTACAATTTACCAAATTACTTTAAATTACAGTACATTGTGGCATTTTACAGTTAACAATCTCACTTTGATAGCTGGTACGCGAGGACACTACCAAGCTATCCCACTTCTAAATATATTTTGGTACCATACGATAACCCCAATTAATAAAAATTACACAATAGTCGGCCTGCAATTGGTTACACCGCAGTAACAGCTAGCATGTTTCTGGATACATTCATGGAAGCAAAGTTTCAGCCACAAAATACTGAAGTATTGCTACGCATTTTAGGAACAGACGTGCCCAGCTCAACATTTTTTACAAGGTAGGATATGAAAGATAATACAAAATGTGAATATTGAATCGTCCAATTATTTAAATGAACTAAACGCACACAATGATTGCGACAAACAGCATATGCTCCGCTATTCCTTAGCTTTAAAGCTTTCAAATACATCTAAAAGACAAAACTATTTCATCATTCCAGATCTGAGGGCTAATAATCTGAGGGCTGTTTTCGACATGAATGCATCACATGAATCTAAACTATTTAAAACCAGTATCCCTACGACAAAAGCAATCGAAATTTAAATCATAGCAATTATTATATTTCATTCAGACGGATATATTTTCGCGGATAAAATCAATACACGTTGATAGAGGGCGTTGAAACTAGGTACTATATTATGGTCTATTATCTTTGTAGGTATAGAGTGTTGTACATACATTGTGAGGAGCATATACTCAGAAACTACTGTGAACGAGACTCAACTATAACACATAACAAGAAGAAATTCTTCATTGTAAATCGATAGGTTTGAAAACAAATCCGGGCCTGTTTTTTTTACTTTGTCTATTGTTTGTAACTCAAAGTTTCAACTTCTGTTTTTTTTTTAGTTCGACAAGAAGAAAACTTACAACAAAACTGGCTGACGTTGATGAACTAAAAAAATCATTAGCACCAGAACCTACGTAGCATCTGCGCGAAATCTGCACTTGTCCTAAAAAAAGTCACACCTGCATTGAGCATTCACACGACAGATGTGCGAGACGCAAATGAAGCTCACGGCCATATGGAAGACGAACAACTGAATTTACAGCTGCGTGTACACTACGAAAGCAGGAGCAGCCGTTCATCAGCCTACCCATACCACAAGAAGCCGATAGGACAATAGTAACGGGATCACGAGACGTAAGTTAAAGCAATGTACTTAAATCAGTCATTGAAGTTAAAATACCAAGCCCGCAAAACAATACTAACTGCGCTTAATCTCATTTTGCCCGAGTCTTCGAAACGTGTTAGGATTTAATCTTTAATTAATGAACATAGAACAGAAGTTTTACGAATTCGAATAATAAACTGTCTTAACACCAGATATACCTACACTGTGCAAGCGTCAGCCAAACAAAAAACATTTGCAACCCAATTGTCAGCAACGTCATTAACACCCACACCGACAACCCAATCGTCTACAACAGCAAAAACAGCAACATTGACAACATCTATCGTCAGCAACAGCAAAAACAGCAACACCTACAATCCTATTGCCAGCAACAGCAAAAACAGCAACACCTACAACACTATTGTCTGCAACAGCAAAAACCGCAACATTGACAACTCAATCTTGAGCAGCAGCAAAAGCAGCAACAGTCGCAAGTAGACAACAACAGGGGAAGTAGCCACACAAAGAACAGCAACAACGACATTGCAGGCCTAAATAGCAGCGAGTGAAGGTCGTCCACGTAAAGGTTATCATGTGAACAAGACTCGCCTAACTGAGAGTAGACCAGTAAAGTATCATAGATACCAGCATTATCAAACATAATAGAAATCGAATAAAATGCTGGAATAGATCAAGGAATCGAAATAAACTGGTTTCTAATGCCACCATGGGTCCAGGTATTAGGTTAGGGTAACGTAGAACAGAGTTACCAGCACGCGCACAGTTGGAGAGCTCACGAAGATTCACGAACAGATTAATATTTATATACTTTTTTCTTTAATACAATAAAGCCATCAACAGTTCCAATAGTGTTATTGAATAACTTCACGTAAACCATTTAGAAAATGGAAAGAAATAGCTTTTCTGAAGATGCAGCGAGGACACATTTTTGTGAAACTCTGAAGAGTTACGCCACCAAAACTCACCAATATTCTGATTAAGGATTTATTTTACAACTTTTTGATCCAAAATGCGGGTATCAGTTGGAGGTACACTCGAAAAAAATTCACATGGCACGCACCAAATCGCACGTCAGTCGCCGGCCCTGACACAAGCATAAAAGAGGAACGTGGTGATGGAGGTCAGCTTATATAGAGTCATGGAGCGATAGCCCGTAGACAAGATACGAGTACATGTGGTCACAAATTCTCGATAAACAATTCATGAAAAGAAATTCAAAAAACTTACTTCAATATAGGTATTGAAATTTCTCTTAAATGCAATTAACGATCCTTCTCGCGATGTGAAGCTCAGCCCAGAAAAAGATACGAGCATCACTAACACGTCAATTGAAATTACGAAACAATTCACACTCGTTAACCTGAAACGACGCTCCCACTGTAACTTTCCAGCATGTCCAGACAGGCACCCAGTGCAGTCTCCGACCCTAATCCCTTCTCCCCTTCGAAGCGGGGGTTGGGATGACCCCAGGCGAGATAGTCAAGGGTCAAGGTTCTACAGTGCATGCACTCCACCCGCCTCTCATCCACCATAACTCCTCTCAGCTTCATTATCGGACACGCGTCAAGACTGGATTAAAATGTCACGGCATATCTCAGACGGTATGTAATAACACCTTATCTCATGTTATCCCCATGCACGACAACATTAAGCTCAAATAGACAGCTCACAAATGCCACGAAGCAATGATTCAATCACGTGTGACTAATGATCATTGTTTGACATTAGACGTAGAAAAAATACTAATCAATAAGTGACTATGATATTAAGCAGCTAGAGGGCTTACTTTTCAAAAGTTTTTGTGGGGTCGACTGGTCGTGTTATCTTTGATCGCGAAACTTTTGTCTTCACGTTCACGATGTGCGTACACTACGAAATCATGGCAAAAACAAATTTATTTCCATAGCGAAACACCACTTGGCCGCAAGGTTCACGATGTCGAAATTTTCGTCTCAGGCTCACGCAATATCTTAAAAACAAGACATGTTGGTGTCCTGTAAGTAAGCTTCACCTTTCACTCACTCGCCTTTCAACTCTCTTGCTACGCTGGATCACGTGGCGACACGGCGATGTCAAAACGCCAGCATGGGTCAAATTTTTGTCGCTAAACTCGTATCATACGCGCATTACGAGATATGAAGTAATCTCCACATAATGAAGGTTTGCATACTTCTCTAGAAATTTCATATCAACCAGTGAAACGTTGTTACCCGTTGCACAGGATTTGAGACTTGTATCATTAGAGTCGAATTTATAATTTTAGTAGAAGTGAATAGTTTGCCTCCGAATGAAAGATTTATACTAATTGTATCAAAGTAGTCGTTTCCCACCATAATAAACTAACTCCCCGTGATTGTGTCAGAATTACGAAACATAAATAGGCACTCACCAATACAAGAGTGCAGGTGAGCAGAGATGACACAGAGATGAGCGTAAGGCAGTCAGAGCCACACAAACCTGTACAGAGAAACATTATGGTAACTGAGAAATATTATATTAATTACCCTATAGATACGTTCAGATAGTTGTCGCCTAATTAGAGAAAATTACTTCGTCTAGTTAATGTTTCCAATTATCGAAGATTATTCATTATAGTCGTTTTAATTTACCCTCTCTTGATTATACAATATACATGCATCAATACGAAATAAAAGGGGTACTATAGGTTTATTCTGATAGGTTAAATTTTGTACAATTTGAATACCGTACTTACGGGTGACATTGATATAATGTAAGAAGTGAGATATACGTATATTAAAACATGGATTAGCGGATTGGAACAACTTTTTGGAACACTACAATCATAATGGAGCCAGTTTACAATGAACATAAAACAAAGTACATCAGTATATTGCGATAATAAAGGGAAATAATAAAAGCAGAATATATTTTGAACACTAGTAGAGGTCAGGCCAGTATAGGACGGCGGCGACTCTGACTTTGAAGTCAGAGTCGCTACATTTTGAGGGCTGATAAGGAGCAATCCTGAAGCCTTATTAGAAATTCATATATTTTGCATGTAAATTATAAATAAGAATATTTAGAATTTTTGAAACTACTTTATATCATTAATATAAATAATGATAAGGTAGGCGCGTTATCTCTTTTTTAATTAGGAGGTGGATGGTGCTAATCATTCACGGAGATGCACTTCTAAAATTTTGCTTCAAATGACTTCTGAAGATGCTCAAATCATTAATATTTAGACATTATACTAACATACAGGGGAATGACCATATTTTGCTTTGACTATCACCGGGAACGATCAATCTGGTTCTTTTCAATACAAAGAACAATCACAGAAGAAAAATAATCACAACATTAATCAAGAAGTACTATACTCTAAATATCCGCCGTATAGTAAAGCATAAATCACAAGTGACGAATAGCACACCGCAACACCACACAACCCACCTTGACGACAGTCAGCGCGATACTGAGCAACGGTCTGGCCCGAACTTGACTTTATCGTTTCGCGTACAGACTATCGGCCAAAAATGCACAAGGTCTCCCGAGACCGATAAAAAACATAGATATTATCCTTATCAAATTCCTGATAATCGGTTTAAAAAATTAGATAAAAGGGGGAAAATGGACAGAATTTGAAGGGTTTCAACCTAAATACGGACTCTCAACAGGGCCTTCAAATGCTGCAACGCTTCCGGTTACCACCTATCCGCATTTTCTCAATTTGACTGAAAAAATCAAATATAGTCGAGGAATATGTTCTTATGCGTAGAACTTTACAAAGATAGTGGGGAAAATTACTGAGTCATGTTGACTGAATGGAACATGTATGTACGCGTTAAATTCGCATAACGAATGCAAACAAAGGTAAGGTCACTCAATCTAAGCCGCCACGAGCTCACGTCAGCAGTTGTATAAAGAATTTGAGATTAATTTCGAAGCAACAAACATAATTTATAAGAACAAATGTCTTAAACCTCAAAACCCTAAAAGTTAAAACCCTAAAAAGTATCTTCAACCTTGAATTTGTAAGCCTTGAAGGGCTGTGCTAAATTATATTTAGTCGGCTATCAGAATAGTTTCGTGGTGAATGAAACAGACTTTCGTGTTTCAACAAGCGATTTCTCCCTGTTAATTTTTCCCACATAAAAATAAATACCAAACCATTTTATAAGAAACAAAGAATAAAATTCCAATTTAATGTACGGGTTTTCCATTATTAAATCTGGCTAAGACTAAAAGAACATCAAGCGGACATCTTGAGTCACGGTATGCAGTGCCCGCAGCACGCAGGTATGAAAAATTTCAAGAGCGTAACGCTGGGCGCAGGGAATCGCACCAGTTGCATTCAAGTTCCAGATCATTTGAACTTTAGATCAAGACACGAGCATCAGCTTCCGTCTGTCCAGGTAACGGCAGCGGCGTTACTTGTCTGTCAATCGCGACGGTCGATAAACATTAACGGGACAAGCGTGACGGCGGCCAGCAGACAGTTTCATGAGATGGACAGTGGCGAATGAGATGGACAGTGGCGAATGAGATGGGATGTAACGAATGAGATGGACAGTCACGAATGAGATGGACAGTTCGAATGAGATGTACAGTAGCGAATGAGATGGACAGTCACGAATGAGATGGACAGTCATGAGATGGACAGTCACGAATGAGATGGACAGTCACGAATGAGATGGACAGTCACGAATGAGATGGACAGTCACGAATGAGATGGACAGTTCGAATGAGATGTACAGTAGCGAATGAGATGGACAGTCACGAATGAGATGGACAGTTACGTATGAGATGGACAGTCACGAATGAGATGGACAGTCACGAATGAGATGGACAGTCACGAATGAGATGGACAGTAACGAATGAGATGGACAGATACGAATGAGATGGACAGTAACGAATGAGATGGACAGATACGAATGAGATGGACAGTAACGAATGAAATGGACAGTAACGAATGAGATGGACAGTCACGAATGAGATGAACAGTTACGAATGAGATGAACAGTTACGAATGAGATGGACAGTTACGAATGAGATGGACAGTCACGAATGAGATGGACAGTCACGAGTGAGATGGACAGTTACGAATGAGATGGATAGTATCACATAGGATGGGTGGTACACACAAGCATGCAATAGAGAGTTGAATTGTTCGCTAACCAACTTTAGACTCCAAAATAAGCTCTGGTACACCTCGCAAATCCACGACGCGCAGCGCTCGTTTAGAAACAAAGGGCGATGGCCATGCAGGAAACGTGGCCTGAGAAAAATCTCGTTTTCTCAAGGAAATCCTCATTTTCTAACAGTACACGAGAGGCAAGACGTGGACATCTTACGTCCTTGATACGCAACGAAATGTCAACTCCTGGACTTACAGAATTGCCGCGCTCCGGCCCAGCCGTTTCCTGGAGCGCCCGAGGCACAAGTAACTAAGTCAACTGTCAAACAATTTCAGTATTGTGTTACTATATACATAGTTTATCAATAACAGGTTGCTATTAGTACTAGATGTATATTGGTATATTGTATAGGTAATCAACATAGAAAAATTTTCAGATTATTTTCAAGTGGTCACTGAATTTCCTCCTCATAAGCGATGCATTCCATAAATATATGCAAGTCGGTATTCAGAAGCAGCCGTGACAGCAATGAAAAAAATAATCCATCAACAACGAACGTAATTTATTGGGTCACATCCAACTAATATCCAGAGATTGATTCAAAATATACACGAGGCAGCCTGAGATCTGATTGTTCAGATAGCAAGTAACGTCATCGCACTCAACCGTCCAAATTGTCACAAAAAATTAAACACTTTAATTCCGTTATCAGAGAATTGACACTACGTCAAATATTCCTTATCAGGTACGAGAAAAATCTTATGTATGCGTGTTAATAAGTGACCACCGTGAATTTCAACCAGCAGTCGCAATTTCCGTTACAATTTCTTTAATAGCATAAGGTGTCCGTTTTATAAACAACGAAGCTTATTTCGTACGTCGGTAAAGTAAGTCTATTTTCTGCAATATTATTACTAACCGTAGGTATTGTTATCTAAATTTATATTGTGGCAATGACGTAAACCGCGCGATTGCTACCCAACTAATTGATTCACAGCTAAAAAGAACATAATACAGGCGCCGAACCTTTAACACCCTATATAGAGGTCAGACGAAGCTATGCAGGAGCATATGTTCAGTGTTAAAATGCCTAGCAAATTACGGACCAGGCAATAAGTGCAGCAGCTATCTCAATCAATCGTCAGCTATGGAAAGATCGGGTTCCAAAGGCCGGATCCCTTGTGAATCAAGTCACGAAAAATTCAAGAATCGGCAACAGGCCATGGGCCTATTTCTTCACTGCCGACACTTCTATTCTATTCTATCACATAAATCCTCCTAAAATCATACTACCGATTAATCCTTCAAACCTAAGGCTTAACACCAACTAAAAGTAGTCAGTAAGTCAAGCCACAAAGGAATAAATATTTGAAATCCTATATAGCAATATACGGCAGTAGAATTTCAATTCACTCATTTGTGTTTTACAACTTCTTGAATAGTTGAAGTGGCGAATACAACATGTCTTGAAAAAATAGCTTATTTCTAAAACACGAGTCCACAATTTGATACAATGCAAAAACACAATCAATTAGCCAAAGTAGTTAACATTTATTGTAAAATCTTTTTATATGAGTAAATTTAAGTTACTCAGGATTTCTACTCGTCATATGCGTTTAATAAATCAATGATATCGACTAAACACCTAGAACAGCGGGGCTAGATTGACGTCAGACGCGTTAACAGATAAGTTGATCACATAATGCAGTACTTGACAGGCCGGAACATGCATGATATCATCATAAAACTTAATATGACGAACATTAAAATGCAAGGAATCTATCACACATCTTCATCGGCCGCCGCTCGGCTTAACGCCTGTCAACGATAAAAAATTAATCGACGTGGTACAATGAATTCAACAATCAGTAAGATAAATGTTTCATTTTCAGGTATTGCAGCATGCATCGACCGTTTTTTTCATTTATAAGAAACAAAATATTAATAAAACCATTAATTAATAAAATGCAACTTTTCATCCAGCTTGCAAAGCAAATATATAAAAAACGTAAATCAATGCTCTGATTTAAATTATAGCACAAGGATGGTCCAAACAGAGGACAGCAAAGAGGCAATGTAAAACAATTTTAGAAATTTAATTAATTAATTAATTGAAATTAAAAATTAAATTGATGTATTTTGTATAACTCATGTAGAGAAGTTGAAGAAAAAAACACGATGTTATTACGCAAAGGTCATAGTCTGATATTGCGCTCAGTGCATACCGACGTGTTGAAGTAATTTTTTTAGCCTCTATATCTGCAACAGGTTACGGCAGGGGCTAAGAATCTAAGCTCGTGCAGCAGATGAAAATCTGGGACTGGGACCGATAGATTTACCGAGCATACACTCAGAAAAAAATACATCATTTTTTCAACCCAAACTGGGTCAGAGTGACCCACACAAGAGTGAAAAGGGGCACGCATCGCTATTTGGATAAGGTCTCACTCATTTCTGTGAGTGTAGAGCGCATACATAGTTAGAGGTCGAAAGCCAAGACTTGTGCAATAGGGCAAGAGCAAACATGAGCAAGAGATGAAAGTGAACGTTACTTATTAACGGATCATAAGTCAAGCGACTTCCATTACACTACAGGACACTTTAACGGGCACCTATGAACACGTTCGGTCAAACTCAAATACCTCATTGCCAACCCAAGTTGATTGCCGATTTTCTATGTGACTGAAATACGATCGTCTGTCAACAAATGGTGAATTTTACAAGAACTGCAATATGAATTAATAGCTGGTCATTATTTGTCGAAACAACTTTCAAGTACAGTATAGTCAAACGGTCATGATGTCGAAGTTTATACAAGAGGAAATACGCTATGCATAGTTAATATACTATGCATAGCATTGGCTCAAACAGTAATGCTTCAACATCACGGCCTATCATTTGCACACTTTACTCGTCCTTGCAGTCAAAGTTGACTGCAAGGACGAGTAAAATGTGCAAATGATAGGCCGTAATGTGTTCTGCCGAATAAAATCAATACTAATTGAGATGGGATGGACGATAAATGTTTATCAAAATTAAAACAACAATTTGACCTACAACAACAATTTGAGTCAAGAAAGATAAAATAATATCGAAGTAATTTTTTGCTGAAGTGCTGAAAATCAGCTCATTTTCAATCGATGCGCGTTCCCAATAAGAAACTATCATGAAGCATCAAGGGCTGTTGACAAGGAAGAGCCAGGCTAACAAGTTCCGGGAATAATACACGTCAGATGTCATTGTTTCCAACGCCTGTATCGGTTTAAGATAAGATCAAGGAACATTGTGATTACGATACTAGCAAACCTACGTGTCTAACATGATGCCCACACAAACCGTTTACTGCACAGCTTAAGCTATCATGACGGAATTATGGCTGTACTATTATAGCAGCAAGTAGTTCGTTCCCACTCAGTCTCTTTCACAGCCACTTATATTACTGATATCGTAAACTGTAGCTAAATGACATGAGTATCACAGTTACGAGAAGATAATGCTACTACCGAATGTTGTTTATAGGCTCCAAATGTTGTTTATGTAATACCAATTTTGATTTATTAGTTTATGTAATTATTAATACGAGCTCTCAAATTTTGTTCTCATTACTCGTCAGGCGCCGTACTATCACAAATAGTTAAGCTCTCGTAACTCCGTCAGCCAATCACTGACGGCTTTTCGAGGAAAACCTACCAATCAGAGACGAGAAAAATGCCGCTACATACGCAAGCGAGTTTTGAAAGTACAGCAACAGGAAGAAAATTTCATTGCCGTTCAATGTGACGTGAAATTCAACTTTATGTTTTGAATTTCAACTTCACTTGAAAATTTCCCGCATGCAGACATAACATTTGTATCATCTGCAAACAACAACAATCTAATTTTTCTTAGGAATTTGCTAGAATGCATTTATATTTGCGCAACCGATTCTCAAATGATACCAAGAACATGAATCATATCTCGTCACAAGTGTCACGATAAGTGTGCAATAAAATCGTGCATACAAAAGCTGTGTTTTCACTTAGCAAAATTCTTTGAAATAAGCAGCCGACACAGGCGCGTCCCACGCGATATGTTTCGTAATCATTTGAAAATGTCGATAAAAAATATCAACAAGACAACTAAACTTCGAACGTGCAATATTACCGTATCATTCAAGAGATAGTATTTCAATAAAATTGTAAGGATAGTTCATTCATTTTACACAAGGCACACAATGAAAAAAAAATTAAATTGACTGTCTATACAAACAATCATGCTATAAAAAAGGGGCTTATATATAGTTGTTTGGCTAATAATAATTCAGCATAGAAACAAAATATCGTGTTGCATTGAAGTAAAGTAGATACACAATAACTTCGAAAATGCCTCGAGATTGAATTTATTTATCCAAATATTCATTTTAGAAATAGTAGAATGAAGTAATACTAGTAAAGTCCATTTCATGCCTTCACCAACTGTGTTTTATAGTTATTGTACTCACCATCATCCACTGCAGGAGTATTGTTTTTCACCAACAGTTGCATTGCCCCATCCTATCACACATGCTGAAGCTTTCCTCAACTCACAGCAGCTACAATTCGACCTGTTGGCATAGTAAACAAAAACATCAACATGCATTTTGATGTATTAATTGACATTTTTAAATAAACACCTTAACCAATGGTTCAAGCGCAAAGAGTAACGGTATAAAAAAGCATTATCAACGCTTGCTCTTTTTACTTTTAAACCATGAGCATATGAAAAGTGTTTTAGTATATATCAAACAGTAATGACAATATGGTTTGGTCAACATAAACAAAAGCATGATTATTGTAATGAAAACTGTTAACATTACAAAAAAATTCATTCAGATAATCCAAGAATCTTGCTTACATATTCTAAATCAAATCTTTACTAAAATCATTGCTGTAAACACAGCAATGATAAATTTATTTATATAAATTTATTAAAAATTTTCCAATACAGTTTTATCTATACAATTTTATTTATATAGGTAATTTATTTATACATTTTATCATCTATATTAGAGGGAAGTGAACAAAAAAGGTAGATGATATTCACGTGTCAATGATGAAGGGTATGCCATTAATAACACGGGAGAAATCAATTGGTTAAGGAATAATGGTAGGAACAATTTGTCAATTGATTCTTTAGAAAACTTGCTGCAATTGAATTGTTTTTCCAAAAATTGTAGGCTTATAAAAATGATCTTTAAAAATACCAGATATGTAAATGAGCTATTTTTCAACTCCTTTTAAATATTTCATCCTGAATTGCTCATGCTGTTTGTGAAAGGTTATATACTTCTTATATGTATCTAAGAAGTCAAACCTTATGGCATGCCAGGCATGGTACCAATATTATGAATATCATCAATATTTGACTTGTGTACCATAAAATGGAGTAACTTAGATTAATTTTTTTTAAATGATGCCATTTTTTTACTAGCAAAATTAAACTTAAATTGAAACCTGCAAAATACAGGTCTATACTCTAGGTTCCCTTACCATAAATTGCTGGCTCCTGCCTCTCATAGTTTTTATGCAATTTCAAAAAAAGTGATGGTCTTTGTTACCCCAGCTCTTGGGGTATCTTAGACTGGGTGGTAAAATCAATTATATTTTTTGGTAAAATAACTCCAAATAACTCCAGGTTTTGGTGCATTGTAGTAGAACTCTTCTAGTTACATATGCAAATGACAAACTTGAGGAAAGTGTCATAGTTTGCAAATGGGGGGCACTGCCCCCGAATGAGGGAACTTAGACCACCTAATGTCAGCTGTGAAGGGGTAATATTGACCGGCTTGGAAATTAAGCCAAAATTACCATGTATAAGACTCTGTAGAGTCTGAAACATAAAGAAAAAACATAATAGGTGTATCAAACATGAAATATGTTATATATGGTCATTTTAAATTCATTTCCAAGCCAGTCTATGTTACCCCATCAGGGCTGACATTAGGTGGTCTAAGTTCCCCCATTGGGGGGCAGCACCCCCATTTGCAAACTATGACACTTTCCTAAAATTTGTCATTTGCATATGTAACTAGAAGAGTTCTACTACATTGCATCAAAACCTGGAGTTATTTTAAAAAAAAAAATAAAAAAATTGGAGAGGGTACTCCAACAGGCTTTAAATAATAGCTTTTTTTCATGGGTCGCATTTTAATTTTTTTAACCTATTAGATATGCAAACTTTTTTAATCTCTATAGTGTTACGTAGCCTCAGTATATTAGGCCTTTAATGCCCATTGACAAAATTTTTCTAAGTCAAATAGTTTTTGAGTTTGGGGGGTTTTTGTTAAAAAAAACGAAAAGTGGTCTAAGTTACCCCATTTTACGGTACTTGAAAAGGACATCAACTGATTCTCATTTAATATGAGTAATCCCATATAAAAAGTTTCTTGGGTGTTGGGTAACTTTGAAGACAACATATCTAGTCTTAGCATCCATTTCAAGTTTAAAAAACTTTATAATTTGTTAAATTTAATGTCACATGATCCAAAACATCCCTATAAAATAAATTGAATACAATAAAATGCACAAAATCAACTATATATCTTTTCACACATCTTTCATCATATTCTAAAGAGTAATTAAACCAAGCCTTGAAATCTAATATTAACATAAACAAGCAAGTTACCAACCATATAGAAAGTTATACTAATAGTTAAAAACTCATTCACCCATAAATGTATGTTTTATTGGAAGATGATATTAATTGTAAGACGTAAGTAGAGCTTGAGCTGTCTGAGCATGGAAATGCGAACTTGCAAAATAGAACCTTCTAGGCTAAGGCAATTGATTTAATATTTTTACAACTCAAGATTGGAATTGTCCTACTTACAAATGAATCTTGCAACTCAAGTTACAAATTTTTTGCTACATTTGGAATCATGTGGCCCGATTGTGCACCTTATTAAAAATTAGATAGGAAGTGGTTTATCTAGTGGGAAATTTACGGCTCTGGAAATGCTCAATTTGCAGCTCAAAAAGCAGACATATTTCATGCCAAATCCAGATGGGTGGATTGCTTGCCTTGCTGAATAAGTATCATCTGAGTTATAATAAGAAAGCCAAGATTCAGGTCTCCAGATCCAGTAAAATGTATCTCAGTCTGTATCTATCTGTTCAGGCTGTTGCCGGAAGGCATTATTGCTTTTTCTCCACTCAACCCATCTGTGTCATTAACCAATTTTTATGCTTAATGCATCCGTATCGTTTCAGAACAGAGGTAATAATTAAATTCCATTCAAGCCAAGTTTAATTCAGTAACTAAAATGCTGCCAAGACAGTTAAATGCATCAAGTTAATTGTGCAATACTGTTGGGTGAGTGAAGCTCTTCCAGATAATGTATATATATGAATGTCTTCCTTAATACTGCATTTTCCACATATTTTTAACCATTGTATTATTTATCTGCCATACTTGAGCACAACCTTACCATAATCTAGTTAACTCTGTTTCAAGTGTTCATAGACATAATGGTGATGCGGTCCTTGTTTTACCTATATAACGTCACTTGCATTATTGTGTCAAATCTACCTCCAACTTTGTTTGCTTTGTGTTTTTATTAATTATAATTTTTGCTTCAATAACTCTTGCAATTTATGTTACTAGACTATATTATCAATCTCTAAATTACTAAATGGTTGTTCATTATTCAGTTATAGCATGATTGCCTCAAGTTAATCTCTAAATTTAGGCATGATGGATTGTAACCTGCTTTGCATCATAGCCACATTATGCGCAGTATCTTTCATTTGTATTTTTTATATCTTTCAGTTGTCTGAGGACCTTATGCGCCATTGCCCGTCCTGTGCTCCCTATTCCATACCTATTGCTAGTTACCTAGCACCAAGTCCCATAGACCTAAAGCACTATATGCAATACTGTCTTTGTACATTCATTGGCATGTCAGTTGTATTTTAAAATCCCATAATAAAACAGAACTCTTCTGGCAACTCTTTACTTACACCATATTAGACCAATTCAATTTCACTTAAGTGGGTTACAAGTTAATCCCCCCGTGGCATACACGGGAACATTGGCATCTCCGACGGGATTACATTTACAACAGTTAATCTGACATTGCCACAATCATTATCCCTAGCAAAGTTTACTATCCATAATGAGGCGCAGTGCATTGCCTAAGGCAGCACAAGGGGAGCACAGGCGGGATAGTCTACTGGTGGCGGACGAATCACCAGATGGAATGGAAGCAGCTGCTCTTTTATCTACTGAGCAACATCAGAGTCCTGGTGAGGGTACAAGCATGACATTGTCAAAAGAAGTTGAGTTCCAGCCCAAAGTCAATCTGGAACCCTTGGCTAATTCTTGCCAACCAGTAGCAGGTCCCTCGTCTGCAGCTCTTACAATGGCAGCTCCAACGTCACTGAACCATTCTGACTTGGCATCACTGGTTTCGGTCCAGTCTCTATTAATTCAGTTCTCCCATCCTCAAGTAAGAGCAGATTTTATTAATCATCAATTTGGTTTCAATATCAACCCAAACCTGCTACCTAAGATTGATGACCTCCATTGGTCTTTACTACCACGCTGGCAAAGTAGCGGAATTGAGCAGAATGCAACAAGTACAAGATCTCAGGTTGCGGCCCACCATTTGTCTCAGCTGCTATGCAAGAGTGATGAGCTTCTACTTACTGATACTGATGCCATCGGTGATTGCTTAACTTATCGCCAGTGGTTTGACACTTTGGAGCTCATTGCAGCAGATCATTATTGGACACGAGTCCCTGCAGAAAAGCGATGCACCCATTTCCTGTCTAGCAATGATGACAGTTCCAGTAACTCTGGTGGTTAACTGCACCATACCAAGTCCAGGCAACAACGGTCAGCTGACTTGAAGAATGCCTGCTATTTGAATGACAAACCTAAGAATAAGAAGCTAATTAAAAGCTCAAAACTGCAGAAATGCACCTCGTCTAAAAATCCTAAAACTAATAGTGTTCATAGTAAAACGACACCCAAGGTAGAAGAAATAATTCTTTCTTCTTCTAGTAATTCTTTTTCTGAAAGCTCTGACTCTTGCTCTACGCACCCAAATGACTCCAATTCTTCTGTTGTTACCCCTGTGCTTGAGCCTCATTCTCAGCATCGTCGTCATTGTGGTGGCAGCACCTCAGACAACCGTTCAGTTGTTACTCCCCCTGTGTTTCAGCTGGATGGTAAGACTAGTCTGAAAGAATATTTGCACACCTTTGAGGCATATTTTGACAAGAAGTTCAAAGGTAACTCATATGACAAGACCCAAACCCTTTCAAAGTTTCTAGTTGGGGACTTGTTACGGGTGTATGAGGTTCGTGGAGGTAGAAAACTGAAGTATGAAGTTATGAAAGAACAATTATTACAGTACTATAAGACATTGAAGGTTGGAAGTACTAGTTTTTGGAGGAAGGAGCTGGAGAGAGCAGTGCCTGATGGAGATGAAGCAGTTGATATCTTTGGGATGCGTTTGTCTGAACTTGCCCAGTTGGCATTCCCTAAAGACAAGAAAGAATGCACAACTCGCCTTTGACAGAGATTCCTTCATTGTATCCCTGCACATGCAAGCTCTAAGATTATTGATGCTGAGAGGGCCCTTCAGGCTACTACT